TTCGCATTCCATCTAAGCTTGGATGAGGAGCGTGCTATTCGTATAGCCAAACAAAAGGAATTCCTTGCAAAGCTAGGACTTCAAGCCATTGTTGACAATATCCGGTCGCCTCGCTCGCCTATCAGACGACAGAGTACCCACTCAGCTCCATTTGAGACTCGCAGATCCACTAGGCTTACTGTCTTATCATCAAAGCTTAGCAAGCAACAAGTGAAGGTATGTGGTGTCCCAACGGGTGGTTAAAGATACCTAGGCGGCGGACCCTACTTTAGGGTTCTCATTTCCTTCCTCTGTGAAAGATCTCAGTTCATAAATATTTACAATGTTTATTGTCATATTGGGTTTAACAATATTCTCTGCTGCAGATGCCGACCCATGCTGCAGAAGCGGCTGTCGTCGAGGACACTGCTGCAGTGGTGGTGAATCACGCTCCTGAGATGCATCTTAATTTTTCTCAGACCAACACAAAACTTGGGCGGAGATGCACAACCTGGATTTGAAGGCCGACGAGGGCCGGCTCCTCGCGGCCATCCTCCAGTGGCCTGAGCAGTATAAACTCTACTGTGGGAGTGAGGGCTCCTTTCATCACTCCTTTGCAGTATGTGGAATTCTGGTGGCGAATGGCATGTATGCCCCAGACTTTAACAACCCCAAGCTGCAGGCTATCAACCACTTCACTGAGGACATGAAGTCTGCCCTGCTGTCTGGGGGGCTGAAGCAGTTTGAGCTTGCACTCCTTCTTGCGGGTCTGAATGCACTCTGCCAGGGAGACGTGGGAGCACAGGGTCAGCAGGTCCGGAAGCGTGCAAAGTCTGCTGCAAGCAATGACTGCAGCAAGAGGACAAAATGTACCGCACAGGAGATGGCGGGCTTGCTTAAGAAGGAGTTTCACTCGGACATCATGTCTGCATCCAACTTCAAGGACATCCCGGTAAGGTGTCATGGTCCAGGATTCTTTACTATTCACAACATACATCCATAGAGGGTTTGGCACCACTGGTAAGGCGCGACCATTGCCCCCGAGAGATCCCGGGATCGATACTCGTTAGGGTTAAAGTCCTTCCGATGGTGGAAGACATTGCCCCCTTAGTTGATGGACGGTGGTGACCTGGGGTAAAGATAACCCGCGAGCTGACCAGGAATGGAGTTGGGCCGCTGTCAACCTGGCAGATTCCGTTGGAAATGGTGGTGGGTGCGAAACCTGAGCGATCCACTGAGAAGTTGACTAGGGTGACTGGATGAGGGTGCCCCGAAATACCGGGGAAGGCAGGGTTTCGCAGGGTAGCTGCCACGGGCGTAGATACACCCCCCTGTTTCACACATCATACATCCTGATGAAATATTTGCATGGGCTAACCCTAAGACACCCTCCTGTAATGTTGTATGCTTTTATCAATCCACAGGAGGTGAAGGTTCGGATTGCAGAACTTATTAATAAATTTGGCGGAACTGAAGGTGCCGCCACCATGGTAGGCATTAAGGCCAAGGCAAACACAACCGAGGAGGATGTTGCTGAAGAATTGATGAAGTCACTCCGCCACAAATGGAAGAACCTCCGCAACATGGCTAAGAAGACACAGAAAGAGAAGGGTGCATGACTGTGAACTTGCTAGCCTCATCATGCTTGTATAAATGGAGACAACAGGACATGTGATGCCTCCCGCTGCCTGCACCTAGTCAATCCATGTGCAATAGCGCTAGCCAGCACATGTGTATGTACACAGGAACCCAAGCTCTATGTATATGTGCATGCATGGTAAATGTCAGTTGCTCCTCAACATGCCATCATCCCTCCTGCTTGCCTACAATATGACCTGGGCATTCATGTCATGCATGACCCTGCAGGTGATGAGCCAACCCCTGCCCAGCAGGGTGCCCAGGTGCCTAATCATAATATTCTGGACACGGCTGAAGATGGCACCGCGGAAGTACAGCAGGACAACACGGCAGCAGGGCCCAGGAAATGCTGCTCCTGCTGACCCCTGCTGCTGGGCCTCCCTTCTGGATGACAGCCTGGAGGAGATGGACAAGTACAAGTCCGCAGGCGGCCACATGTCCTACCTCAACAAGTACAACCTGGCTGACAAGACGATTGGCTGCTATCTGGTGGGCGGCTCCAAAGACAAGCCGAGCACACCATCAGTGCTTGGGGCGGGCTTGGTGCTCAGTGACATGGCAAGTATATATTATGGCAGATTGCTGTACACTCTGTGTTCTAACTTGCAACATATAATTTGGCCATTTCTGCAACTGATTACTCAGTTGGATCCGGTTTTACTAATTTTTTTGGTGGTGCAGGCATCAGTTTCCATTGAGGACACCATTGAGATCCTGGTCATTGGCAAGATGAAGGGGCTGCACCACCGTGCAAACACTCGGGGAAAGACTTGGTCATGGATGGGTTTTCCAGTCATGGATTTGGTCATGGATGCGGTCATGGATCCGGTCATAATTTGTCATTAAGTCATGGATCCGGTCATGGATCAGTTCATAGTTTGCATAAGCAAGTGCAGGATATGACTGGTTGGGGTCATGAAATGCGTGGTCATGATGGGATTTATGATGGGATTTATGACAGGTCATGGGACCGCAATATGACCGTATTCAGTCATGGCTGCACTTTATGACCCCATGAGGTCATAAAGGTGGTCATGTACCTGCTCATAAATATGCAGAACATGACCAGGTCATATTGCGCATGGTATTCCATGATGGAACAATGCAGGCCATGACCACCCTGGCCCATGTTTTGCACTCTGTTGTATTCCGCTTCTTAAATCTGGGTCCAAACTGATACATTTTCTGTCTAATTTTTCCTTTTTCGCTTGGCGCGGTTACTGGACAAGTTCGCTGGAACTAACTGAATTCCAACTGCCTATTTTGCCGCTTTTTCTGTCAGATCTTTATGGCTCCGACCTCTGGGTCAGACGGCGAGCGGGAAGCTGTCATGGATGCCTACAAGTAAACGCCGCCTCAGGCGGAAGTCCATACTTGCAGAAGTATGGGCGGGGGTCGTAGCACAGGCTACGACTGGGACGCTGGTCCCTGGCTCGTGGAGCCCCGTCATCGATTGGAAGCATGGATCAACGGTACGCCATTCCGGACTGGACCGCGCCATTTCGGAATTGGCTGTACGATTCATGGGATGGCCGCATCCTCCGCTATTTAAGCGGGCGAAACTCTTCCAAATCGGTGTCTTCCGACGCCACCATCCAGTTGTGGTTTAGTAAGATATAACAAGTCTGGTATCGAGACGGTTCCTCCCGGGGCCTCTCACATTTCTGAAATTTTCAAGATCCCCCTTTTGCCATCAAGATCCCCACTTCTACCGGCGCGCGGATGGAGGTCGACGACGTCACCGGACCTTTGGCTACAATCGTCGACGCTCTTGGCGATGCTGTCCGCGAAGTCGCTGCCGCCGGTCTGTAAACTACTTTAGCAAATCTGTTTGCTGACTTTTTCTAGGATTTTGGGTTAATAGCGGTAAGACTGCTGCAGGCTCCGAACCGCCAGTTCCTTCGGCGGTCCCTGCCCTTTGCCGGAGGCTCTGTCAAGAGCTTCGTAGCACCCGTTCGGTGCTAGAACAGACTTCCAGAAAAATTGACAGTTCGCTTTACTTGGGTACGCGGTCTGCTTGATCTGGGTCAGGATAGTGGAAATGGAGCAGTCTAGGCGAAGTCGTTGGGGATTGCCCTCCACTATCAATGGAACTGTCCCGCCGCCGCCTATTGCCCGGAATAACAGTAACCAATTAATAAATATGAATAATCCCTCATCCGATGTTCTGATTCCTGCAGTGGAACACATCGCGGGTCGCGCCACCGGGACGACCGCCGGCGATGGAGAGAACAACGCCGCTACTGAGCGCGGCTTGCCCGCTGGGGCCAGCGATGAGGTGATCAGAATCACTATTCCGGTACCTAGGCTCAATATTCCTGCGGAGATTAAGCTTAGTGAATTATCGCGGGAAGTTGCGCCACGAGTCCGCACCTTCGTCCACGATGTCCGGAAGTATTTTGATTTCGTGCGGGGCGGAAATCATGACAGTATCCGTTGCTTATTTTTAGCTAACGCTCTTGAAGGCGCCGCGAAAACCTGGCATGATGACTGGACTAACGCGCGGTTGCAATATACTTCAGAGCAACTTTTGGAGGCGCTACTAATTCGTTTTGCCCCGCAGATTCAAACGCGCGAACTAGAAGCGCTAGAAAAGCTTGCTGCTGGGCAGCATCAGATGCGGGCAAACGAAACGGTAGCCGCGTACCATAGTCGTTTCGAGGCTCTCATAGCACCCATTCCTGACTTAAGGGAGGTTGATCGGATTTTCTGGTTTATCCGCGGCCTTTCCTCTGAGTTCTCGGGAGAATGTGCTACTGACCATGACGGAAAGCCTTTTCAGGAATATGCCAAACTTGTGCAGCACACGCTTGGTGTAGAGGCCCGTCAACTTGCTAAACTTCGTTCCCAAGCCCAAACCCGCGTGCTTCTGCGTGCTTCCACCGCTGTGCAGGATCCCGCGCCCATCATCACTGACGACGGGGACCTCCCGGCACCGGAGGTCAGGCCTCGGGCTGCTACTGTTGCCGCTGGGCGAAATACAGCTCGCCAGGCCTCCGGTGCTGGTGAGTCGAACCGTGGGCGCAGGGGTCGGGGTGGCAAGCATAGGGATAAGGGTCGGCCCAGGGCCGCTGCCGCGGGAACAGGGGCGACGGTGCTAGGCAAGCGTGGCCGGGATTCAAATCCGGCCGAATGGATGAATAAGTTTTACTGCACTCGGGCGGAGTACGAGTACCGCCGGAAAAATAGCCGTTGCCTCCGCTGTGGGGAGGATAAGCACCTAGTAGCAGAGTGCCCGTTGCTGTCAGAGAAGAGAGCTAGGAACGGGGAAAAATAGGGGGTTGCCCAGGATAGTGTTAGGGAAGCACTCCCTGGGTTACAAACCCGAACGGTACCCCTTATCTGCCCGGTTGGACGTGCTGTCCGTGCTGTTTTACCGGCCGTTTTAAACCAAGTTGAGAAGGCCGTTGGACGGCGTTTTTCGTTTGACGCTCGTACTGCTCGTCCTGGTTTTGACGAGCACTGTAATCTTTTTGCTATTCCACGGCGTCTAACCTCTAGTAACTTGGGTGGGCATACCGTTTGGATTTCCCCTTCCTCTTTCAAGGAACTTCAGTCTCAGCTGGCTTACTATCGTATTTGCAAACGTCAGCGACCGGACACCGCTGCCTGTCTACTGTTACCAGCACATGTATCCCCGAGGGCTGCCTCCTTGCTGATAGGGATGCGTCGGGTTCTTCAGTTTCGCGCTGGTAGCAAGCTTTTCAACGGTGTAGACATGACGGGTCAACTTGTTTCCCTTCCAGGTCTGCCGTATACTGCTGACGTTTGGTACGATCCCCCTCTTGTCCTGGGGCACCTTGACACGGAGCCCCATGTTTCAGTCCTGTGTGCAAAAGTTGCTACGTCAACAGGGCCCAGAGTCCCGTTAGTTGGCATTCGTGTCGCTGGACATTCTTTAACTGCCATGGCCGACTCTGGTGCCAGCGACGACTTCATTTCTGCGTCCATCGTTGAGCAACTCGGACTGAAACCTCAACCGACATCGTGGTCATCTGTCACCCTTGCTGACGGGGGTAAGCAGGTCATTTTGGGTCAAGTTTCCCTTCGTATATCCTTGGGCCCTTTGCGCCTAAATGTCCGTCCGTATGTGCTGCCTAAGTTTACTGATGCAGCCACGTTTATCTTAGGGTCCGCTACCCTTGATCAGTATGGGGCTCATCTGAATTATGAGACCCACACCTTGCAGTTGCGGAAGGGAACCTTGTGTTATAAGGCGCCTTTCACCACTGCGGAACGGATGGGAGAAGGGAATACTAGTGCTGCGCACTCCGAACCCTGTGTGAATTTTGCTGCTGCCGCTATCTGTAAGCGAATTGAGCCTGAACCCGTTGGGCGCAAAGCAGCTATCCGTATGATTCGCAAGGGGGCGCATGGATTGCTAGTACGGCCTAAATTACAACTGAATACAGCCGTTACCCAGATCACTGAAAATGACCCTGCGGTTGAAGCCCTTCTTAACGAATACTCAGATATCTTCCGTGAGGTCCCTGGACTTCCCCCGATGAGACCTGTAGATCATACCATACCTTTGGCTCCTGGTGCGCAGCCTGTTTCGCGCCCTATGTATCGCCTCAGCCCCCTGGAGCTGGATGAGGTGACACACCAGGTAGCCGACCTACTGAGGAAAGGTATGATTCGACCCAGCACATCCCCGTATTCTGCTCCCATTTTATTTGTGGGTAAAAAGGACGGGACTCTGCGTATGTGCATAGACTATAGGGGTTTAAATGCGACCACCGTTAAAAATCGCTATCCTATCCCACGGGTCGATGATCTACTGGATAGACTGCGTGGCTCGGCTTTCTTTAGCTCTATTGACCTACAGCAGGGGTACAATCAAATCCGTATTGCTGAATCAGATATTCCGAAAACTGCATTTCGTACGCCCTCTGGTCATTACGAGTATACTGTGCTGAGCTTCGGCTTGACGAACGCTCCTGCCACGTTCCAAGCCCTGATGGACCGAACCTTTCGGCCCTACATAGACCGTTTTGTCGTTTGCTACCTAGACGATATCCTGGTCTATTCAAAGACACGTGAAGAGCACCTGGAGCATTTACGACTGGTCTTTGAAATTTTGCGGCGTGAGCAACTGTTTGCCAAGCGTTCTAAGTGCCACTGGGCCCAGCCTCAGGTCGAATACCTTGGTCACATCGTCTCCAAGGATGGCATCCGCATGGACCCCCGTAAGACTGCTTCTGTACGGAACTGGCCTACCCCGACCAATTTACAAGAACTAAGGAAGTTCTTGGGGCTGACGAACTACTTCCGTAAGTTCATCGAATGCTATGCCATTATTGCCGCACCTCTGACAAATCTGACACGTAAAGGGGCTTTTGTATCTCCTGACTGCTGGGGTCCTGACTGCCAGCAAGCGTTCGATACACTTAAGCGTGTTGTCTCTGAAGACATCATTCTGCGTTTCCCGGACTACTCCCAACCTTTCCGTGTGGAGGTCGTAACTGATGCGTCCTTGCATGGTACGGGAGCAGTACTGCTGCAAAACGGGAGACCAATTGCTTTTACTAGTAAGAAGTTCTCGGGGGCTGAAACCCGTTATACCACTGGGGAACAAGAACTTCTTGCTGTACTGCACGCGCTTAAGGAGTGGCGGTGTTATCTGGAGGGTCGGCCGTTCACTCTCAAAACCGACCACAAACCCCTAACGTTTCTGCAAGGCGTGCCTACCCTTAACCGTCGTCAAGCCCGGTGGATGGAATATCTTAGCCGGTTTGACTTCACATGGGAATACCTGCAAGGCATCCTTAACGTTGCTGATGCTTTAAGTCGGCACCCTTGTCTGCATGCAGCCATTCTGTCAGTCGTTACACGCAGCCGTGCTG